TGAAATAAATAAAATTAAATATTTGTTATTCATAACTCATTTTAAATAAATTAAGCTAGATCGAATATATCTTAATTCAGTTATTTTAAAGTATCCTTTCCTTGAGCAATGCTTCAAAAAAAAATACCTAGGAAAAAAAGTGGGTTACATGATATTACTATTGAATTATTATATATAAACTTCTTTGGCTATATGCACCTTAGCATAAGAGTCAATATCAAATTTAAATAGTTTTATTCCTAAATTCAATTCTACACATCCACCATAAGATCTCATTTTGACAATAGAAAATAAAATTTTATTTAGAGCAACTTCAAAGAATCGACCAGGGTGGTCTCCAAAAGTGTGGATCGATGGTATAACTACAATAGCAGCTAATCATTAACCAATTTTATTGTATTGTACAAACAATAATATCAATTTTAAATCTTCATGAATAATTGTGCTAATTAAATAGTTTTAAGGCTTGTTATCGATTGGCTATTATTATGCTGCGGCTGCACTATTTATCTGCATTTTGGGAGGCTGCCCTGGTCGATTCAACTTCAAACACAATGCTAGAATTATTCATAAATTTAAAAGATATTTTTATATTGATAGTACTATAAAATCATAATTATATAAATTAGTTCCATTTTTTATATAGAAAATATGATAATCTACAAAATTGACACAACAACCAATAGTGTTTCTTGTGCTATATAAAGGACCGTATACTTCATAATAACCACTTTCATCAAATTTAAATTCATCATCACCATGATATCTCATTGAACCAGAATGCCATCCTATAGTAGGAAGAATAAAGAAAAAATTATATAAATCTTTGTGAATGTAAGATTATATTCATATACAATATGCAATAATCTGTTAACCTGGCAAAATATTAAGGTTGTTTAAATTTTTAGCAAATCTAATTCCAATATAACTAATTTTGATTAAAATTATTTAAATAAATAAAATAATGTAAAAAATAATGATATTATAGCATACCCAGTTTTGCCATTATCTATAATATTAACTTCAAAATAATATAACAAAATTTCAGATAAAACAGAAAAATCAGTAGAAATTGATTCTGATTGATTATCACTATCACTAGGCCCTTTAATTAAACATGGTTATAAATATAAATTAAAAGAAAATACGCATAAATCAAGAACAAGAACAGAAAAACACCAATAATTACCTATATATTTAATCATTAATTTATTATCTATACACTTAACATACTTTGACAAATATTCTTTGAAGCATGTTGGTAGACATAATGGATAATTTGAATTTTGAAGTTTTTCTATAAATGCATGCTTAGAATAAAAGATTATTTATTTATGCTTACTATGTTAGATATTACATATATTTTTGGATAAAATATGTATTTCATTCTTGCTATATACATATAAATTATAGTGAATTATTAAAATAAACCTATAAATACT